GATGTACTTCCCGGCTTGGTTCTTCGTGCCTGTTTACGATTTTCGTTGCTTTTTTATTAATCAGATGAGGGAGGGAGTGCTTTTTCAGATGGGATTTGTGAAGGTTGTCAAGAACAAGGCCTATTTCAAGCGCTATCAGGTGAAGCTGAAGCGTCGGCGTGAGGGCAAAACCGATTACTATGCGAGGAAACGTCTGACGGTGCAGGACAAGAACAAATACAACACACCCAAATATCGCATCATCGTACGCTTCACCAACAGAGATGTCATCGCCCAGGTAAGCCGATATCCTGCAAAACAGCCCATTTTTATGTGGTTCATGTGCGCTTGATGCTGTAGCAGGCAAGCAGATTGCAGCTTTCGGGTCAACCCTAGAAGTGCAGATGGCAGAGTGTAAAGGTGCAGATTGAGGGAGGTGAGAGCGAGATAAGACGTTTCGGTCCATTAAGTCATATACGTTTTAACTCTCGGGGATTCGACTCTGCCCCTGAGGCAACCAGTCCCTGTACGATTCGTTTCATCCGTTTTCAGTGGTAAGCCGATTGCAGCATCCAAGTTGAACTTGAATGCCGAAGGGTCGAAGGCGTACTGAATACAGAAAGCAGGAACAGAATGAGGAAAGCAGGCAAGAATGAGATAAGACGTTTCGGTCCATCAAGTCATATACATCTTAACTCAACACTGCAACATAACCTCATCAGTATGACGGCCGCAGTGTTAATGGAAAAGAAAAAGAGAAAGAGAAGGAGACTGGGAAAGACGCAGAGGAAGGCAGAGAAGGGTTGTGATTGTGGATTAGGGAGATGAGAATGACGCGAAGAAAGAATAGGTAAAAGAGAAAACAAGGTTTAAAAAAGACTGGAAAAAAGGCTTAAAAAAGATTTTAAAAAAGGCTTAAAAAAGATTCAGAAAAAAAGGATTTTTGGGAAAGATTGGTCTGGCATATGCCAGGAGTCAGATTCACCAAGCAATCCTTGGAAGAGGAACCTTCATCTGGTGCTGCTTATTCTTTGACCTAATTCGTTCCGTTCAGAAGCAGATGAAATACGTTCTTTTTCTTTCGTTTTCCCTTTTTTCCCTCTTTCATGTAAATCTCGTTGCGTTCTGTTTTCCTCTGTTTCTGTATTGGTTCCTTACAGAATCCTGACCGAGGCACCTCATCAGAGTTTGAGAGCGCTGTCGAATACCTAGCTCATTATTGCTAAAGGCGCCGCGGAATCTGCTGACCGGGGGTGAGCGGGGGGGGGGGGGGGGGGGGGGGGGGGGGGGG